CATTGGTGGGAGCTTTTAAAGTTTTCAGTAGGGCTGGAGAGATGGCTCAGTGGTTAAGGGCACTGACTGCACTTCCAGAGGTCCTGAGTTCAAATCCCAGCAACCACATGGTGGCTCACAACCATCTGTAATGAGATCTGATGCCCTCTTCTGGTGTGTCTGAAGACATCTACAGTGTATTCATAATAAATAAATAAATAAATAAATCTTTAATAAATAAATAAATAAAGTTTTCAGTAATTGCCTCTATGCTAGTCGACTCATTGAGGGTTCTAATTGAATACTGAGGGCAAGTTCCTTATTAAGCTAGTGTACACTAGGAAAAGAAAAGATGTTTGTTTTTTTTTTTAAAAGGGACAAGAGCTGGGTACGGTGGACCACTCAACACAGACTATCAGGTGAGGAGGATCAGGAGGAGGAGGCCCCGCTGCCAGCTGCGGCAGGGCACGCCTTTAATTCCAGCGTCAGGAGGCAGAGACAGACAAATCTCTGTAAGTCTGGGCTTCATAGAGAATTCCAGGAGATCAGCAAGAAATACATAATAAAATGCTGTCCCTAAAGAAGAAAAGAAGAAGGTGGAGAGGAAGAAGAGGAGGAGGAGGAAGAAGAGGAGGCAAACAAGAATGAGCAATAGTAGAGAGAAAGGAAGAAGTACTAGAAAATCATTTTGCGAGTAGATGTAACAGTGTCTGGTAATGACTTTAGATGTCACTTACTGTATTCTCATCCTGGCCCCTGAAGCTTCATGCCAGCTAGTGACACCCACAGGATGATTTGCTGTGATAAGCAGCCATAAAGGCAAAGCACCTATGGTATCTATTCTTGGTTGTCAACTTGACTCTATCTGGGATTCGCTAAAACCCAAGTGGCTGGGTATACTTGTGAGGGATTTTTCCTAATTAAAAAAAATAATTTGCGTGGGGAAGACACACCCTTAGGATCTCCTGAAGTGGGAAGATCCATCTTTAATCTGGGCCACACCTTCTGCTGGCAGCCTATATAAAAGACACGGAAGAAGGAAGCTTACTCTCTCTTTGCCTGCTTGCTCTCACTAGTAAGTCCCTTCCTTTACTGACATTAGAGCCTACTTCTTTGGGATTCTGGCATATACTGAAGACATCCAGCTTTGAGACATCGAGCCTTGTGGACTGAACAACGACTGAATTCTTGGACCCTCTGTTGGTAGACAGCCATTATTGGACTAGTTGGATAACAGCCTGTAAGCCACTCTAATAAATCAAACTTCAGTATGTCCATGTCTCTCTGTGTGTGTTTATAGTGATAGGTACAGTAAATGTATGTCTGGCTTTAAATGAAAGGTAGAGTAAAACCTTTTTGTCTGGCTTTAAGTGAAATGTTTCATCAAAGTCTTTGCTATGTTTGGGTCAATTAGTAGAGGCTGAGAATTTCTTTGAGACTGTTTGAAACCTGAAGAAATGTTGTCTCTCTAGAGATTCTGCACTTGGTCTTATGTGAGAACTGGAAGCTACACCAATCTTGGTGCTCCTAGCAAACCTGGAGTTCTTCCTTTTGATTATGGCTAGCAGTGGTCAAAAGGGTTGTCTGCTCTCAGGGGAAGCAAGGGCAAGATAACTTTGGTAGCTGGAACCTTCCCAGCCCCAATTAGCCTTGCATAATGTTTGAACAAAGTAACTGGAGTGAGCTAGCTGGGTGCCAGCCTTTTCCAAGAAGGCTGGACCCTTCTGCTCCTTCAGAAAACGAAGGCTTAGCATCTTGGTAAGCTTCTCTCTCTACTTTGGCACCTGTGACGAACATCAATCAATACGTGTTTATGCATTCTATCAGTTCTGTTGTCTCTAGGGAACCCTGACTAATACAGCTGCCGTCTGAACTGGTGGCAGCAAGTGACCCATAATGCTGAGATATGTCTTCTCTCCCAGGCTTACTACTCTGTCATTTCTCTAAATTCCTAGGTCGGAAAACATAAAGACCAGACTCCTGGGAAACTCAAGACAAAGCTCTGGACATCTTGACTTCCCTTTTATTTTTAACTTCTCCGTGCTGATGGATTCTTGGTTTCTTTCTTTTCCTGATGATCTTTCAGGAATGGGGGTCACCCTTTTTTTTTAAGAAAAAATAAATTAAGTCATCCAGAAAATGCTGTACAGTACACATGACACTGACAATATTTCACTCCCCCGAATTACTTCTTTCTAGTGACTTAGTCTCTCTTTGAAGGCTGCCTATTCCTCTGTGGTTCTTATGTATCACAGATGCTATAGCTATAAAGCAGGGACTAAGATAGACACTCTCCAGCTTTTTTTTTTCTTTAGTGCGAGTACATTTATTTTGTCTTTTGAAAGTTCTTTTAGGTTTCCTGTCTAAACCTTATTAGGCCTTGTGTTCAATCCCAACAATGCAAAACAAACAAAAATGTTTCAGTGTTTCTTGAGACAGAACCTCTCTCTATAGCTCTAGCTGGCCTGATAACTCTTTAAGTAGTGCAGGCTGTCCTCAAACTCATGGTAGTCTTTCTGTTTCGGTATCTTGAGTGCTGAGAATAAAGGTCTAGGGGATCAGATGTCTTCTTGTGCTTCCACGGGCACCTGCACACAGGTGGCATACGCACAGACATATAAATCAAAATTTTTAAATAGTTAAAGGCCTTTTAAGGTTATACTAGGGACATACACATACACTTTAATCTTGTTTATTAGTGTAACTAGAGTTTAATGAGTGAGATTTGTCTAATATATAGACAGATCTTACTTTTATATTCTGTTAACATGTTTAAAAAATTCTCTTAAGGGGGGCTGGAGAGATGACTCAGTGATTAAGAGCACTGATTGCTCTTCCAGAGGTCCTGAGTTCAAATCCCAGCAACCACATGGTGGCTCACAACCATCTGTAATGAGATTTGATGCCCTCTTCTGGTGTGTCTGAAGACAGCTACAGTGTATTCATAAATGAAATAAATAAATCTTTAAAAAAATTCTCTTAAGTACTTAAAGCTTTACATTTATCTAAATAACCAATATATAACTACCAATTAATAAGTTACCTTACAGGGATCACATTACTAGCCTCTTATAAAGCCTCATTAACTTAGCAAGGTTTCAAGATCTGTGGTAACTGAGTTATCTGGTGACTGCAGCAAAATCATTCCATTTATAATTTTCAAAACAGTTCCTTGGTTACAGGGTTAGGTACCATCGTTTAGAAAGAAAACCCTCTGGTGTTCAAACTTGATGGCTGTTTTAGGCTCATATTACTTGCGTTTTTTGCTATAATAAGCATTTTCAGGTTTTTTTTTTTGGTACTTGAGTAGCAGTTATGTAATTATGTATTTCTTAAAATAAGTGTAGTTGAGAGCTTAGTTCCATGAGCTTTTAGTTTATAATAGACCAGTTAGTTGTTACTGCTGTCATTGGTCAGGTTACATAGCAGTAAACACGATGTGGCACACAATTGGTTTATTTTTGGATAATGTACAAGCCCAACAATATATTCACATTAGAGTGTATTTTCAGACTCTGGTTTCTAATAAACAAAGAAATCCTTCATCTGTAAAGGATGCATTTAAGTTTTTACATTTATAACAATAGTATGGTGAATAAGGTGAGAAACTTGTAATTTAAAAACTTTCAAAATTCCATAAAACTTGGTTCAAAGATTTCCTTTTAACACAAACCAATGTTTAAACACCTACATTTTGTGTTTAAAAAATTTGAATGTCCACTTTAAGTATTTCTAGCCTACAGATGCAGAATAGTTTCTAGTTACTGAACAGTTAGGGGTTAAAATGGGGCGTCCTTTAAAGTGGTAGTGGTTAGTGGGTTATTTGCTGGTTGCCTTTTTGCACCATTTCATGTTGGCGGACTGTATCCTGTGCTGCTTGCTGCATTTTCTCCAGTTTTTCCAGAGTCAGAGATTTTAAGGGTAAAAGCTTGGGTTTACACAGCACCATCGTGGTTACGTCTTCCACAGACAACTGCCCTTGTTTTGGAAGGACTTCTCGGAACATCGACTTCACTTCCGCCATCTGTAAACAGCTGGATACAGTGCTTTTGCTCAATGAGTAGGAACCAATGAAGGCCGAAGTAATGCACTCTGCCCAATCGATTGGGATGGGCAGCTGTGATGTACTGTCTGCTGAAAATTGTTATCTTTTTCTTGCAGCTTTAGGAATCCGATCTGTAGTTATCAGAACGATTGACTTCTTGACTTCTTGACTCAAAATACCTACAGAAGGAACTCACTCTTCAGCTCTAGGAGCCGAGGCACCCCCTGGGGCGCAGGCTGGGGCGAATACTCCCCACTCTCCAGCTTTTCAGTCAACAGATACCCAGTAAAGTTCTGAGACCTCAGCACACAAGCTGTAGGAATGTATGGATAAACAGCTGAGAGGGGACCAGGAAGTTGTGAAGGGATTGGGAAGATGGGGGCTTCCAAAGCAGTTCATTGATCAAGTCTGAGCAATAGAAATGCAGTCGATTATAGTCTAATACTCAGCCCCAGCCCCCAAAAGTAAGAGACTGAAGTATTTAGCGCTTTCACTGGGGAGTAACCATTGTACACTATGTGTGGACTAGGACAGCAGCTCTTTTCCCGGAGCTGAGAAAGGGTGCCTAAGCTCTTGCGAGGACTAACGTGGAGAGAGAAAGAACTTCTCCTTTGTAACATATCTAAAAGGACGTGATCCAATCCCAGACCTCACTGCGTGAGCCAAGGCCTAAGAACATCAGCCTTGCATAAAAACCGCTCCTAGGTTGCATCCTCTGGGAGCCCGGAAGTGGGGCTGAGGAGAAAGGAAAGGGACAGGAAAGAAAGAGGCGGAGCCCCCTCTGTCACACCCATTAGTCACGTCCAGTGGCCTATAGAGTCAGTAGTGCTGTGCGCAGGCGCAGACCTGGCCTCCGCCTCCTCCCCCATCAATTACCCCCCCCCTTGCCCGTGCCTCTCCCCCTCCCTCGACTAGTGTGTTTGGCGTTACCATGGAGACTGGAGAGGCCCGCGACTGCTGTTTGTTGCCAGGGTAACCCGAGCGGCAGAAGGCAACCGTGGCGGCAGCTGCAGGGCAGCGATGGTGACCAACCCGGTGCACGGCCTGCCCTTTCTCCCAGGCTCGTCCTTTACGGACTCCACGGTGAGGGCCAGCCACTTGGCGCGCCTCCGCTCTCCTTCATCCCTCAGGCTCCACCGTCCTCGCGCATCCCAGCCTCTGCTGACTTTGCTTGGCCTCTTGATAGTCCGCTCACCCTCCCGGGTCCTCACCGCGGCCCTGTTCTTACTTTCCTGCCCCATCTACCTGCCTTCTGGCCCGATTACCCCAGGTCATCTCCAGGCCTCTCCCCAGCTGCACACAAACCCTACTCAGCGCCTTCATCCTCTCCTACCTTCTCTCCCCAGCAACCTCCTTCTTGATCTATCTCATGTCTTCTGAATCCTCAAACTTACTGCCCTTCAGCCCCCACCCCTTTTTCTATGTGTATGCATTTTTTCCATGCACTCCTTTCCTGACGGGGTCTCCCCGCCCTCCCACCTCCCCCCCCCCCGACTCTGGCCTTCTGAGTTAAGGTTCACTTTTATATCCAGTTTCAACCTTCCCTAGAATTGAATCCCCCATCCTCCACCGCCCGCTCAATCTTGGTTTTCTTGTAGTTTTTCTCTGTAAAACATTCCCATCTTCCGCCTCTCTTTGTATATCTCCCATCTTACCTAACGACATGGACCACTTGGTGTTTCTTTTTCTATAGCCTGTATTTTAAAATATATATATATATATATATATATATATATATATATATATATATGGATATATGTATGTATGTATACATACATACATGGATTCCTTTTCAGACTGTGTGTGTATGGGGGGGGGATTATCTTGTCTTCAGCCTAGACTGGCCTTGAACTTGAAAACCACCTGCCTCGGTCTCCAGGATGTTTGGGATTAAAGGCATGCCAACACACAGAGCTCCCATTCAGATTGTAGTTTACTCCTTTGTCTGGGCTGTTTTATTCATTGTCTAGATGAAATGAAATAAAGACAAGTCCAGGGTGGTGATGCGTATCCGTGATCTCAGCTTCCAGGAAGCTGAGGCATAAAGATGACCAATTTGAGTCTAGTCTAGGCTACATAGCTAGTCCTTATCTCTAAACAACAGCAGATCCAAACCAGACAGAACAAGAGCTGTGTATAAAGGAAGCAATAGCCAGGCTAGGAAGGGGCTCAGAGGGTAAAGCACTTGCTGCTCTTCTGAGAGGAGTGGAGTTGGCTAGAACCCACCTGAACCCAAACAAGCAGCTTAGCTTGTTAATTTTGATCTTTCATATGTATTCCCACATACATGCAAACCAGCATGTGCACACGCATACACACACACACACATACACACATGCCAGAACAAACCACCCTAACAACAACAACAACAAACACCTATTGTCAAAGCCAAGTGAAAACAGTAATTTGGGTTCTTGGTTTCCTCTTAACATAGGTTAATTGTTAATCCATCTCTTTTGAGACCGGGTCTCAAGCAATCCCGGTTGGCTTCACACTATATAGTCTGGGCTGATCTGGAACTGATCCTCTGGGCTCCTAAGTGTGGGATTACAGGCAGGTCACCAAAGACAGCTCTTTGTGAGTACCAGGCAAACACTCTACCAGCTGAGCTATACTCCCAACCCTAATTCTCAAATGCATTTGGCATTAAAAAAAAATCATCCGAGTTACAGAAATATTCTGAAGGGTCAACATTAAGGTTAGGTGGTGGTGACTGGAGATGAGCTGGTAGTCATTTATATTTGTAGAGTTTAATGATTCGGACTCTTACATGTTTCTTTACATTTCTTAAGGAAAATTATTTCATCTACTTGTTTTCTAGGGGACAGAAATTTCAATTTCAGTTGAAAGTGTGGTGAGAGACTGGATTCTGACTTTCTTTTAGTCTCCTGTAAATATAAATATAACATGGTCATTTTTTAAAGATACAAGCTCATTAAGCAGGTTTCCTTTTTTGTTGTTTGTTTGTTTGTTTGAGATAGGGTCTTGCTCTTTTTAAACCAGACTAGCCTGAAGTTCACTGTGTCATCTAACCTGTCCTCAGACTCACAGTGTATCTCCAGCCACCATTTCTCAAATGCTGGATTAAAAGAAGTCTAGCATATGGTGTCTGGCCAGCACCATAGATTTTCTGTTTCAATGAACTTTTTAAAATTTTATGTGATTTAAAAATAGTTAGCATTGTTATATGTTGTGCAGCACCAGGTTCAGCATTTGGTACCGGCGAGTGTGCGTTATTTGTGCTCGTGTGCACAGGCATGAGCGCCTCCTATCTAAGCTGAGCAACAAGAGTAGTTTGGATTCTTGATGGATACCCACAAAGAAAGGGTCGAGTTTATTTGTGAGATTACAGAAGTGTGGATAGAAATGCCAGACTTCAAATATTTATATGGAAAGAGGAAGTGTCTTGGACATACTTCCTATGAAGTATAGCGAGTGACTGACAACTAATTATTCTTCCTTGAAATTTAAAAAGCTTGTTAACTTCATCTTCATCAGTACAAGAATGTCGTAACTCCAAAGAAAATGTGTCCAGAAAGCGAACCCTAATGTAGAGTGGGAGGCCTGAGAATGCCTTGCTTGGGGTGCCCCATGGATAAAGTTGACAGATGCTGGAGACATCTTTTAACCTCAAAGAAAATGAACCAAAGTTATGGATGCTGGTTTCATTTCATGTTGTGTGGGATGGTTTGGGGAGGGGCTGCCATAGAACCGTGTGTAGAGGTCATAAGACAACGTCTGGGAATTGGTTTTCTCCTTCTACAATGTGGGTTCCAAGGATCAAATTCATGCAGTCAGTCTTGGTGCTGAGTAACCCTTATCTACCAAGCTAACCCCCATCCCCAGCCCTACTACCCAGTTTTGGTGTTGGGAGTTGAACCTAGTTCTTTGACCTTTCTAAGTATACCATGAAGCTATACCCCCAGCCTCTAGTAATACTGCCTCTGTTTTTAGAGGTTGCAAAGAGGACCTGGAAGCTATGCCCATTGCCCAACTCAGTACACCTTATTCTATGTCCTGTGTTTATGCATCTGGGATAGTTCCTGCCAACTGACTTGTAACCAGAATACGTGACGCTTAAAGAAAGGTCTGTGGTCCATACTCTTTTACCAGAACAGTCCATACTACTCAATCTTTTATGGTAACAGCCATCTTGAAAGATGAGAGGAATGATAGGCTAGACTCCAAGGAAATTAGGGGATAGTCAAGTTAATCTTTCTATTGTTAATAAAATTTGTGATTATTTGTAAATCATGCATGCATAATAGGTAAACTGTTACGTGTGTACAATTTGAAAGTAACCCCATAAACAGCATAAAAACCCCACTGAAATTAATCAAATTTTAATTTTGTTTTCTTCTTTTATCTAATTTCTTTCTATTTCCAACGACAAACAAATGTGTATTGATGCCAAAAAAGGAACATAATCTAGAAACCCCTAATTTAGGATGTTCACCAAATCCAGTTAGTATGCTCATCATTATAGTGTATTTATATAATTTTATATGATGCTCTATTTTTTTGTCTTAATAAATTGTAGATACTTTACTAGGCTGCTGCCTGGTATTTAAAACCATTTTAATTCCGGCATAGGAGAAATTCTATCACTTCCTTCCTTCTTAATGTGTGTTGTTTAGATCATTTCCAACATTTTAGTATCACACACACACACACACACACATCTTTGTCACTATTATGATCAGCTTCAAGCATATTGTTCTTTCCCATAATTTTGGAATGTATTTTAAAATCACCGTGTAAGGACAGGGTTGCTGGGTGTTTACAGATATGCTGGCAAGCTGCTTTTCAAAGACTTACGTGAGTGTATCAGCGTCAATGTAATAAGAAGAGCTGTTGCTTCAGGTGAACTTCAGAAAAGCAGATCTAAGGTCATGGTTCATGACCTCTGGAGAAGAAGAAAAAAATAGCAAAGATTAAAGCAGGATATAGGTGTAGTAGTATGGTAAAAGGCGAGTCGGACGTCACCGAGCAGGGCTGTTTTATTTCAACCTCAGATGGTGTGTCTATTTCCTTCCTTGTTCCTGACCCAAGCCTTTCAGTTTAAAAAGTACAGAGCCTGTTCATGCAGGGAAGCATGTTGATGTACGTTTTGTGATGCTAAAAAAGCCAACTTTTGGAGCTGCAGAGAGATGGGTCAGCGTTTAAGAGCAAGAACTGCTCTTACAGAGAACCCAAGTTCAATTCCCAGGACCCACAATCAGTGGCTCACGGCCACCTGCACCTCTTTATCCGGGAGATCTGAGGACATCTTCACACATACGCACACATCCACATAACTTTAAAAATGTACTTTTAAAGCAAAAGTTTAAGTTATGGTAGTTTAGGAAGTTAGTTGTTTTACTTAAAGATTTATCCGAGGTTACTAACGGCATACTTCTTTTCTTCAGAAAACAGCATTCCACAGAAGCCAGACACTCGGATACAGGAACGGCTATGCAGTTGTCCGACGTCCAACCATGGGGATAGGTGGAGACCGGCTCCACTATAACCAGCTGTCTCAGGCGGAGTTGGATGAGTTGGCCAATAAAGCACCCATCTTAACCTACGGCCCACTCAAGCAGGCCCCACCTGCAGAGTTTGTTCCTGCGCATGTGGCTTTTGACAAAAAGGTATCATCTGGGATTTTTAGGGCACCCCTTGACTTCAGATCTGAGACTTGCCCCTTGTTACCAGAAAGCCACAGGATTCCCTTAGTACTCTCCGAGAAAATGGTTCAGATGCCTCAACCTCTAGTTCTAGACACCTAAACTGAACCTTGCAGGAAGATTTCCCTGGAATATTTTCCAAACACAGTTCTAAGTTGCCTGAATTCTAAATCCCATATTCAGGACGTCTCGAGTTCAATGCTCTGTTTCCCAGCTACTCTGTAACAACGAACCCTTAAACTCTACGAACTGCGAGATAGCACAAAAACATCTCCATATGTTAGGGGTTGTTTTCTAAAAAAGTTTTCACTCATTCATTCATTCATTCATTCATCCACCCTTTCGTTATTGGTGCTATTTATATTTCAAACACTCTTGTGACTATTTTTCTCTAGTAAAGTTCACATTGTCACAAAATAACAAGAACCCCTCCTACCTACAACTCCTTTAGGGAGAGAATTTTATCTCATCCTTGAGCCCCAAACTGCTTTGCAGGAGACAACAGCAGTGCCGTTTGCTGAGTTTGGGCAGGTGTTCGCCGCCACTGTTCTCTTCTACATTCCAGCTCTGATTCGGGTACTCCTCCCTTCCCTCATTTGGTCCTGCACATGATTATTCTCCCTCCTGGTTTCCCACTCCTGTCTATGTGGTTGCTCTCCTCTGGTTTCCCTGCATCCTTGGTGGAAGCATGTTCAAGGTTCTGTCCTGATTCTTGAAGATCCTTTCTGAGGAGATGTCACCCACTTTTGTGGATTCTGCTGTCTTTTCGGCGCAAAAAAACTGTCAGTATTTATTTTTAACTCTGACCTCACTGAATTCCAGACCCTAGCCATGGGCTGCTTCTGACAATGGGATATCCTCACCTGGGTGAGCTGTTCTTCACAGGTAGCCTCTGTGTTTACTTACTTACTTACTTACGTATCCATCCATCCATCCATCCATCCATCCATCCATCCATCCATCCAATTGTCTGTCTGTCTGTCTGTCATCTATCTATTTTTGACCTCCCATCATTACCCAACCCCGAGGACCGCTAGATCTACTCTCTCAATTTGGGATCTGAGCTTCTATGCTCAGATGCCAAGCTAAATATTTCTTTTTCACTTCCGCCATTGTTTTCAAAGTTCAGACAAGCAATGTGATCTCTACAAATGCAGGTTAGAACACACCATCAGGAGCCAAGACCACTGACTGTAGAATTCAGTGAAAAGATACATCTTGAAACAGAGTATCTAAATGTTATTTTTTTCCCTTCCTTTCTACATGTTATCATGGTCTCATCCTACCCAGGAGAAATGATACTATATTACTACATTTTGTCTTCACACTGATTCCAATTGCTTCCTTATAGAGGCTTAGAGCTCTTTATTCTTAACAAGAGAAGGGGCGACTGACTGGAATTAGCAGTCAGTGGGCTGGAGAGAGAGTTCAGTGGTTAGGAGCACTGGCTGCTCTTTGAAAGGATGCAAGTTTAACCCAGCACTCAAATGGTGGCTAACAACCAAGCTGCCTGTAATTCCAGTTTCCAGGGTTTCTGACATCTTCTGGCTTCCTCAGGTATCAGGCATGAACAGCAAAAACAAGCAAAAACAAACAAACAAACAACCAACCCAATCAACTGTCAAACAAATAAATACTTTATGTAATAGAGGGGTTGTGTTTTTATTACAGGGTTTCACTGTGTAGCCCAGGCTAGGCTTGAATTTGTAACTGCCTCCTGAGTGCTGAGGCTTAGGTTTGTAGCACTTTGTCTGGTAGTTAAAAGCCCGTATGTGCCTTACAAATGTCAGAGGAAACCCATCCCCCATTCAGGTTTATCTTCTTTCTCATACCTCAAAATTAACACTTCTTGGGTTTGAATATTCTTTGGTACTTTTTCTATACGGGTTCCTCTTCCACCGAAGCCTCAACTAAGAAGCAGTGAAGTCTGTGGAGAGGAGAGGCCAGTAGATTTTCTGTCCCAGCTCTGCCCCATATATGGTCTCAGAAGAGCTATTTTTACCAGTGTGGATGCTAACTTTTTTCCGTTGTAAAAGTAGCGATGTTGGACTATCTGATGAACTCTGTATCAATGGTTTGTATGTTTATAAGCCTTCGGTTCAAACACACCCCGTTTCCTGTGAGTTTCCACAGCAGAGTTCACATTTTGAATTCTTTGCATTTGATCCAAAATATTACTTTAAATTTGTCCTTCTCCTCCTTTATTTCTCTTTAACTATCCCATTGAACAGTTACCTTTTGTCTTTCTCCTTATACTTTTAAAATAATCTCATTGTATTCCAAAATTGTTATTCACATTTTTAACTCTCTTTGGGATTTTAAGGACTTCTTCCCTTTACAGACAGCTATTTTTGTTTGATTTTCTACTTTTAAAAAACTGTACTTTTATGTTCTCACTGATTAAACATATATGTGTTTTAATTTAAGGGTCCTAATTTTTCCTCTATCCCTCCATCGCACCCTTACTTAAGTAGAGGTTTGGGTAAACTCCTTTGCCTACCTAGAATATCCTTCTAATGCTTTCTCTCTCTGAACATAAATACTAAATAAAATACCAAAATATAAGGTAATCGCACAGCATGGGATTTTTATGTTTTTATAAAATGTTTTTTTTTTTTTGGAGGTATGACTAATGTTTTTTTTTTCACTTTGTAAAACAAACCATTGTGTTTTTTATGCTATTTTTTTTCTCAAATCGTAATTAATTCACACAGGGGTTATAAACACAGAAAGGCAGGATGTGGGGAAGGGAATGACACTGGAGTGTGGGTGTTCAGGGGGAATACAGATATCTTCAGAACCGGGTATTGGCTAGGTGAAGATTCAGGGGACAATTCACTATGACTCTGCCTATGACTCACTTGTCCTTATCTAAGTTGGTATTGTCTGCCAAGGCTACCTATTTACAAGGTCTATGACTACTCAGGCTTATAAATTTCCACAAAAGCTGCCTGTTGACATTAGCTTATAGCCATCTGTTTCAATGTTTTTCCACTGAGACCCAAGACTTGGTGTTAGTATACATGTATGACAGGCCTACTGCTGATTTTAGGCCTATGGCTGATTTTAGGCCTACAGTGTATAAGCAGGGCTGCCCCTGACATCTCCTCCCTTCTCTAAGTATAGAAGGGCTGTGGCAATTCTAAACTTGCGAAGGCGGGGATAGAGGCCTGACCTCCAGTATTTGAAGGGGACCTTGTAATGACTCCAGTCCCCCTGTCATTGTCCAGTGAGGCATGAGGGCCATACCCGTCCCGATGTCTTTTTCCTGGAGAGGGGATACTTTTGACATCAACCCCTATGCAGTCAGGCTTGTCCTTCAGGGAACCCAGATAGATATTTTTATCTTTTATTTATATTCCCTTGAAGTGCTTAGCCTCGCAGCCTAAGCAAGAATTCAGATCACCTGTCAGAAGGGGTTCTGGGTGGCCCCTCTCTGCTTGGTCTAGGGGCAGAAGTCACCCCTTTTAGGTTGGGTGGAGATGGGTTTTGGAAACACCCTGTATAAAGTAACAACCTCATCTTCAGTCTTGTGATCCTCCATAGCTAACTTATGATAATGTATCTGAGTAGGTTTTGCTACCAAATTATTTATCTGTTGTATCACAGAGTTAGTCCGCCTATTTGAGGGCCAGGGACCAGCAGAAAAAAGCAAAAAGAACCCAAATAATGGTCCCAAGATGGGAGGAAATAGGGTTGACAACCTTGGAGAGGCTGAAAACCAATTCTTGTACTAGCATTCATCTGTCTCTTTCTCTCTCTGATTTTTCTTAGGGCCTTCACTGACCTATTTCATGCTCTCTTTAACCCTCCTTGTCTTGTCTATGTAAAGGCAACCTTCTTCTTTAAGGGCTGTACACAGTCAAGAGCTGTACACAGCCTTTTCTATTGTAATAGAGTAAATCAAGTCCAATAAGTATCTTTGTGATTTTAGGAGGTCTCTTCAGACGGTGAAACGAGGGATTTCTTCAGATTAGTGATGTCAATCTCTAGCTGTTTGATGTTCTTGTCAGTGGCCCTTCAAAGGTCTGAGTAGTATAAGTTCGGAGGTCAGCATCTGGATTAGAACTTCTAACAGCAGACATCACGGGTGATTCATTTTTACCTGGAAAGGAAAAAGAAGGGCATTCTCAGGGAGATTTCTCTTCCCTGGATGTAAATTGTTATTCATCGTATTTATGGTTAGGCCTGGCTTTGTGGGGGTATCTATTTTTTTCATTAATCTTTTTGGTAGCGGGTTAGCTGTGCCTTCTGTGGTATCGGACAGGAATATCAGTCCTCGGCCCCATAAGGGAACTGGGTCTGGGCCATTCCCTTTAAGGGTAAGAGGGTCCTTCCCCATATCTGTGGCAAAGTTTTGTTGGTCTTGGTGGTGCCAGAGGCAGTCAGCAGCAGATTTGCCATGAGCTTTCAGCTTTAGAGAGATAAAAGTGAACAAGGCATGATGGAGAGTATTTTAGGGGGATTCCTTCTGAGGGGGTACCGTTCCCCCTCTTTTGTTTTTAAAGCCAATTTTTCAGAGTTCTTGTAAAATCAGGGCAGAAGCGCCAACAGTCGCTCCTTCCACACTCAGAGAGTCATGAAGACTCTATTTAAGGATATAGAAGTCTATATTAATAATCTTTTGTCAAAGGATTGTTATAGCACCGCCAAGAACTAATCAGACTATATAATATATCGATTAGTAATAGCTTCTTCTACTTTTTGTGAGATTACCTCTCTTTTGTCAATTAATTGTTGACAAAACTTAGGGTTTACCTCTCTCTTGAGAATATTGAACAGAGACTTAAATTCTTTTGTGGAGAGCTTAAAATAGGATCTTAGCCAATTAGCAACTCCTAGAAACTTTTGAAATTAATTTAAAATAAGTAAACTCTCTTCCTCTCTTTTTTTAAGACCCTTTATCTGTGTGGTTTTTTTTATTGGATATTATACGTATTTACCTTTCAATGTTATCTCCTCTC